GTTTGAGTCGAGAGTGAGAGAGAGGTTCACTCTAGGAATAAATTTAAATAAAATTAGTGTTGAAAGCAAAGATTAGCAAATTATTACGATCATTGTGAAATGTGATACGTATAAAGCCAATTAAATGTAGCTTTTAATGGGGTTTAAATAAAATTAAAGCCAGACATTCTTATTATTTTTTGCTTCTTGAATAAAAATAAAAGAATACAGATTATAAACTCAATATATTTTTATACATTCAGTATTATAATTAAGTCAGAAGCTTACAAATATGAAGAAATCATTTCCGACCTATAAATCATATATATTCTTGATCAGCATCAACAGCCGAATCGATCTAGCCATGTTCAGTCAAAACAAAAAATTCAAAATTTTTTCAAAAATTTGATTAAAATTTTGATCTTTAAAATGTTGAAAAATTATGAAAATTAAAATTTTGTTAAATTTTAAATTGAGTATGCAGATTTGTTATCCTAATAAAAACTAACATAGAACGCTTCTGAATTGAAATAATGCATTTTTGGCTTAGTTATGCGTTATTTAAACTTTGATTTGTAGCAAAACTTATAATATAAAAATAATGATAAATACCTACTAAAAAATGATTATAGTTTTAGTCAGAAGCTATTACTTGATGGAGTCATTTCCGACCCTATAATCCATATATATTCTTGATCAGCATCATCAGGCGAATCTTTCTAGGCATATAGGAAAGGAAGATTTTTTTTTAATTTTTTCCAAATTTTATAAGGGATTTTTACATTATTACAATTTTTAAAAATTGACGAAAAATTAAATATTTCTAAAATTTAAATTAAGTATGCAGATTTGTTAACCTACTAAAAACTAACATAAAACTGCTTTCCGAATTAAAATTAATGCATTTTCGGCTGAGCTATGATATTTTTAAACTTTGATTTGTCGATAAAAATGTTATATAAAAATCTTAATAATTTGTTATTCAAACTATAACTTAGTTATGATCGATTTCTGATTCGATTCTATTACTAGGAGCTATATTTAAATGTAATGTACTCCCGAAGCCATAAATAAAATATTTATTATAGTTTATAAAACTATAAATAACTTTTCTGTTATCAGAAATTTTTCAGTTTAATTTTTATAACTCTTTTCTCATACTCAAAGTGTTATTCTTTATTATTCCAAAACGAATTAATTCAGCAACTGTCCCATGGACAATCCATTTTACCAGCTTAGGTCCCTTAACCCTTTCTATAATATTAAAAAAACACATTATTCCCTGACTGATCGGACAGACTGAACCTAATCTTGAGGCTGATGCAACGCCCAAAACATCATCATGATCTCTTGGCCTCAGCCAAGGTGAATGAACTGTAAGGAATACTGTAGATATATTATGGGAAAATGTCAGGGGCCAGGTAACAAAAAAAAAAAGAGATCTTCCTCCCCTCTTTGCCAAAAGGCGCCTTGTTAAGAACCGTAGATTTTTTACAGGATTTTGTCGTCCCTTTTTCCTTTGTCAATCTTAAAAAATAATAGGTAAAAAGACAAGGCGACAGGAGGGAACCCGGACAAGATGCGCAACTAATTTGAGACTTTAAAGAGGGACAAATGAATTGGGAGCAGGGAGATCAACCCCTAATTTGCATGGAGTAAAATCTAAAGATCTGTCTAGGATCTAGGATTGATTATAAATCCATGCTCCTCCACACTCAATCAAACAATTTCTCCATTTAAAGAAGGCGGAGAGAGAGAGATTGCCATTAAAGTTCAAATTTCGTTTCCCGATCATTGCGCAATCACGCTCCTCATCTAGCCTTTTTTGCACACTGAACCCGAGAACCTTTTCTCTTTTCTATTCTCTTGCTTTTTTAATTACAAACGAGGGAGGGTTACCTATAATTTTTTTAGCAAAAAAAACTGTAGGGTTTTTTAGGGCAAAAATAGAAAATATTTGCACGGATATCCCGGCAATTACTTACGGTTTTTTGAACACCACTTCCCTTGGGTCTACCAAAAAAAAAAAAATATACAGGAAAAAAAGGGGGATGAGGAGTGATAGATGGAAGTTACACACTTTTTGACTTTTAGGCTTTCCAGATTTTCCTGGAATTGTAGAAAGCTAATTTCTGCTTCCCCCCATTGATCTCCAACACCTACACTTCTCTCTCTGAACGATAAAGTCGAATTTGGAGTGGTTTTTCCCACATCAAGTGGCGATCAACTTACACGGCAATTCACAAAAAAAAAAAACCGTAAAACCCCGAAAGCAGCTGCGCTAAAAAAAAAAAGAAAACTATTCAACCCGCTGGTAAAAAATCTCCGCTGAGGACAAAACAAAAACAAATGCGAGACCAAGGCCTACAAAAAAAAGGGGGAAATTCAATGCCGTGAAAAGGGTAGACGGACTGAGTGAGGGTTTTCGACGCCCGGGACTCGCAGAGTTCGTTATCCTTGCCGGGAATCGAAGTCGCAGTCGAAGGGGCTCACACAATGCAGCATCATCATCATCATCATCATCTGACAGCAGCATGAGTTCCTAGTGGAGTTATATATATTTTTATTTTATATAGGGTTGCGATTTTTTGGGGTTTACTCGCTCGCTCTATCCCTTTCTCTTCAAAAGAAAAGGAAGGAAGTCTGCATGGGTGTTAACGGTCGGCGACAGCGGCTGCGCATGCGCCTGATCCCTGTGCCAGCTTGCTCATCATCATCATCAGGATGACTGGGCGAAAGATTGATCTCGTTGCAAATCAAAATAATGAAATTTACTTCCGTTTCGTCTGGTTCTCCCTCCTCGAAATTTAATATGGCCTGTTAATGAACATATTTTTTTCACAATTTTGAGGAACTGCTGTTGATTAACAAGGGAAAAATGTTTAATCATTTAGTTGGAGTGTTTTTTTGTATACTAGGTTTGTTTCTTTATAACAAATTTTCAAATAAGCATTTACTTTCATTTGGTTTTTTCCATACAAACTATTTTTTATAATAAATGTATATTCAAGAATGCTAAAAGATATATTAAAATTTTTTATTGTCAAAATCAAGAACACCTTGTGTTTCAGTAGGAAGCAACCAGTATTTAAATAGTATATAAATAATATATACAAAAATAAATACACATAAATAAGTCTTAAAACAGTTTCTATAAAATTGTTACAGTACTATTTTAATGGTAATTTTAACAACATAAATTAAATAATTATGTATAGCATTTACTATCTGAAAGGTTATTAAAATTTATCAAAGGTAGATATTTCTTAGGAAATAAGTAAATGTATATTTTTAAAAAATATAAATATATGTTTTTGTAATTGTTTATCATATATATTTTTCCACTGATATATAACCTAGAGGTCGCTAGAGAGCGTCAAAATCATGTAGATTAAATGTCAAAATGTACAAAAATGTATATATTTTTTACGGTTCTTGTAAATGCTAAAAGATACGAAACAAAAGATACAGATACGTGACAAAGCTGGCAGCTGTAAAACTTGTATATTGATATTTCGTTTAAATTCAAATACCTTTGAAGGATATTAAAATTTTAATTAGAAATCTAAAATCTATAATATACATAAATCATAGATATTCTTGAAAAGCATTAAAAACTAAGATTAATCTGTTTATATATTTATTTTAAAGTCGAAGTCCAAGTTAACTTAAATAATATAACTTTCCTAAATATATGGAAATTAGGTGATGAAACACGAATGAAAATTGACTTAAAGGAGCCATAGAAAGCTTAATATTCCTGATCAGCATCTGCTTCTATAGAAATCCAGAAATTTACCTTAATCTAACTTCTCCGAACATAATTTCACCAAATTTATTTACCTTTACGTCTAATCTTTCGTCTTCTCTGAATTTGAGAGCAAAAAACGCAAAACACGAGATTAACGTTTCCCCAGGAAAAACTTTCATCATTTAGCGGCTAAGACAACAAGTCGTAAAAGCCAAAGATAAATAGCACGATGCCAGGTGACGTCACACATTTCGTTTTCCATGAATGGACTTTCATCACCGGTGGGGGGGGAGGGGAGGGGAAATGCAGGGAGAGGGGAAAAACTACAATGAACGAGTATATTGCATGCCAGGCGAGTGGTTTAAGGTCAATGCGAGAGTTGTGAGAGGGAAGGTCAGGTCACGACCACCAGTGGTTGTTGTCCACAGGCAACCCCAACAACACGAATGTCCACAATTCCCAATAGCTCACAGTGGAGCTTCTGTTAATTAATGAATTGGAAAATACTACAAATAGTTTGAGGGAATATATATATTTTATATGTTAAAAATTACTTAGTAATACAAAATACCTTCAATATTGTTTTGCTTTGCTCGTTTATTGTGTCTCAATTTTGTTACTGGGTTCCAAGCTTGATGTTGAGGTGTTCCACCTTTGTACAGGTTAGACAAGTGGCCAAGATTCTAATAAACAGTTTTTACAATCAGATCTCATTAGGAATGAAATTATAAGTTCTTAAAGAATTGTTTAAATTAAATATAAATCTCTTTCAACATTATTACAAATATGAAATAGAAGAAAGTCTTTAAAGGAAAGGGTTTCAAGGGGTTCATATAATTTTAACATTATTTAAAACCTTTAATGTAATTCCTAATGTAAGTACTATCTCCGATCTTGAAATTTGGTAACATCATTTGGCCTTAGGTAACATCCTGCAAAATGTCAAAAAAAAGTTCGAATTTAAGTTTATCTCTGGTAATTAATACTCCAGTTAATCCATCTCTCCGAGGCTCTACTGTACGCACTCCATTCTCGCTCATTCGATGAGTAACCATCGTTAGTATTTGCACTCTCACACTCGCCTCGCCGGGTCTCTTGTCTCCGGTCTTCGGTCTGCGGTCTCTATCTCTCGCGCTCGGTAAAAACAAACACTTATCAGATATTTTCTTTTGTCCAGGGCTTTAATAGAGAGAGAGAGAGAGAGAGGAGAGCGGGGAATGCTAAAGAAAATCGGATTCGTTTTTGTAGCATTCGCAAATTAGTCGTCGAACGCTGAGCAACATATTCATAAATAAAAGAAACGTTGTCTACAGAAAAAAATAGACGTTTCAGTCGTCGGCGGGAATTGAAATTATGAAATAATCGTTTCGCGGTTGTGCTAGAGACACCCAGCAATTCTTCAGATATCCAAAAACTATATAGCAAATATATATTGAGACATGGCTACCGAAACTACAAAGATGGTGAGTTTTGATATCAGATTTTTGGTAATTACCAGGGATTAGAAGGGTGATTAAGGCATTTCCCTTTTGAGATATTGAAAACGTGGCAATGTGTGGTCTTTTTTTAAGAATTTATTGCTTTTTGGTTGACCTTGAACCTGGTTTAATGACAGGCCAAGCCCCTAGGGATTTTAAGGGGTTTTTGGTAACGTAACTTTCATTTGGCGACAAAGCACAGGTTTTGAACTTCCGAAGAGCGCGTGGCACTCGAGTTAGGTAAGAGCGAGCAGCGGCATGTGTTATGTAAACAATATAATATATACACCTGTATTATTAAATAAATATCAAGTATTGAGCGATATATGTAGCAAGGGGTGTCCGTTGTAATTTATAGATTTTACATTGATAATTAGTTCGTGACTGCTGCTCACTCAATTGAATTTATAAATATTTTCCGCTCGTGAGAGATCGTACTTACTTGTATCTATAACAATTTCTCCCTTGATTGAGTGTTCAAGTATCACTCACTCTGTTTACACAGATACTTAACAACCCATGACCAATGTTCTGGGTAAATCTCACTGTTATCTAACTCTGAAGATATACATTTTTTGTGCAAAATCTTCGGAAGTGACGTCGGTTTCTACGCCATAATACAACACATACTATATAGTATCTCACTCTCTCTCGTGTCTGGCAACCACCTGACCGAGGGACAAAAAAAAAATTAAGTGACGACACCGCCAGATAACAATATGTACGAAATTATTTGGATTCAGCAAAAATAATTACCATATCGCAGGTTTCTCAAGGCAATTAACAAAAAGGCTTTAAAAGGCTTAAACTTTTATATTTTTTGGCGAAACTTTTATTGAAAAGCAAATTGAAACACGTGCGATAAGGTTGAGTCTGGAATTTTCAGAGGCGCGAGGATTGTAAATGGATTTTATAGTAGCTGGAAATTCCAGTTACTAAGATTAATGGATTTTATGGATCTAAATTAGGGGTTTTCCTGGGTTTTATTATTTCCTCTTAAAGAATTGTACATTTTTAAATAAATATTTACTTTAATTTATATGATAATTTTCTTTGAAAAGAGAGTAATCTTTAATATTATTTCCATTATTTTCCTCAGTAAGAATTGTTAATAAATTAAATAAATATTTCCTACGAATCTAGATCACGATTTTTTTCTGTATTTGCCCCATAAATCATTTTTCTGTGACCTTCTATGTAACCGAGAAATTTGATTAGTCTGATATTTGCTTTATCTCATTCTCTGATAGCTCCTATCTCATACGATATGTAAACAATGTTTTATTGAATGAACAAAAAAATAATATCTATTATATGAGTGTGAAGGAAACAGATATTATTATATCCCTCCCAAAAATAAACAGGGTCCAAAGATCTGTCAATTATATATATTACTATATAATATGTAAGTTCAAAATCCAAAATCCATGTCCTAAATCTAAAAGACAAATGCAGACATTCAATTCTGAGTACATTTCTTGATATTTTTAGATACAGAAGCTCAAGCATTTTGTTTATTCACATTTTGGCGTATAATCTCCATGTTACCTTGAAGGAAAACGCTTTTCTTTTTTTTTTTTTTGGGCCCCGCCCCCACACGTGACATGGAATGACGCAAAAGGGTAAAAACAATTGCAGACGTAGATCTGAAAAGTTTATTTCAATATATTTGGCTATACATCTAAATATAAAATACGCAAATTTTTGGTTTGAACTTTGTATTGGTCTGAATTTTTTCAGTTACCTAATGAGACGCATTAAAATAATTTTATTCTCCTTAAATAATATCTTTTTTTAACATTTATTTACCTGTTCTTTTAAAGAGTGATTAAATGTGGGTCAACGTAATCGCCGACGCCTTAATATTCGCTTTGTTTTGTTTTAAACAACGAGCAAAAAGAAAAACAAACCAAAACAAGTTGCAAAAACAAAAAATCTTGAAACCAAAATTTATTGGCCACAAAGATAAACTGGTTTCTCGGTGTTAAACGTTTGTTTAAACTTCAACTTCAACTTGCACGTTGTTTCAGTTCAATTAATAACCAAATATGGTACATGGATTCCAGACTTAAATAGGCTTCGTATTATTCAGATTTTTCTCCCGGATTTTCTAATTAAAGAATTCACTTAATGGTGTGTATTTTAATTGTTAAAAAGGCAGCTCATTTATAATGTTACCCAAGTTAATGAACAACTGTTTAACTTTTGCTAGTTTTATAACAAGTATGATTAAGGGCATTAGTAGCTGAACTAAGTATATTTATATACGTTTACTACTAGACTTTTCCAGTAACTAAATTTATATATTATTTCCGGTTATACTTGATTATGTTTCACATGAATTTCCTTTGCATTTCATTATCGCCTCAATTAAATAATATTTAATGGCAATGCACTAACATGATCTCACTCTTGTGAGCATTTTTGCTATATAAAAAAGTACTCAGATACAGATATATATATGCCTTTCAATTTATGATTCATATAGTAATATATAGCATGTTTATACTGCAAAGATCAAAGAATTCTGTAGTGTGTCGCTTTTCCTTTGATGGAATTATCTCGCTTTCCTGGCGTAATTCAATAGGTACTCTTTATTATTTATAAAAATTTCTTTATTTTCTGTAAGTTTCATGATTCTCTTATTGATTCTCACTGAAAACTCAATATATTAAATGTCTGAGCGAATCGTTGTCCTTGTTCTCAATTGTGTCGATCTAATCAAAAATTTATGGTCAGTTTCTAGTTCGACTTTGAAATTTGTTGCATATTGATTTTTTTGAAAAGCGTGTGCTTTATGTGTAGTGAAGGAAAGTTAATACAGATAAGAGAGGTATCTATTATATTTGAAAGCTTTAAGATACTTTATTGATTTGTGATACTTCTAAACTTTTCCATATTTCCTATTCTACTTATGCCTTGGCAACAGTAAAGAGTTTCTAAAATATAAATAATTTCACCACACCACTCGATAATTCGGCATCTTAAAGTATCTAAATAAAGTATATTCCATCTTAGCAGGTCACTTGTTTTATTCTTTATCAGCTCTAGGGAAACCCCAAAAAGTGGAGCATGCCATGCGAAGATGATAGAACATTTACACAATGCATGAACAGCAGGGAACTCCTCAAGTTTAAGCACTTGTCATTACAATCATATCTTTTGTGCTTTATGTAAGCGATTCAGAAATTTCTACGTGCAAACAAGTTTCAGTTTGAGTTGTTGTCAAGTGCTTCCAGTTGATTCTGGACCTGTTGACGACTTTCTCCCGGAGAGAGGTTGGGATGTTCCACCTCCCCAATCGAGAAAGTTGCAAGGCAATTACAATGATATCTTGGGGCATAATTCTGATTATTAATGTATTATGGCTTAAACTATAAAGTCGAGATGTTTTTATGGATTTTGTTAGTGAAATACCGACAGTAGTTCCTTTTAGTTGTAAAGATAGATTAACTATTGATCATTTTTTTACCTTGTATTGCTTTAAACATAAAATCAGTATGTATGGATTCTTTTTAATTTTGTTGAAGCTTTGAATACTTGAATTATAAATATTATAAAATGAATACTAGATAAGATTTATTGCATTTTTACATTTTTAAATCTAAAATATTTAAATTCACACCAAAATGGTAATGTTTTTTAGGCTCTTTCAGGGTATTTTAATTTTTTCAGATGCTTGTAAACATAAGGAGTCATTTCCGACCCTATAAATCATATATATTCTTGATCAGCATCAATAGCAGAATCGATTTAGCCATGTTAGTCAAAAAAATTTTTTGGATTTTTTTTTTCAATTTTTATTTAAAATTTTCATCATTACATTTTTAAAATTTGATAAAAATTTAAATTTCTTAAATTTTAAATTGAGTATGCAGATTTGTTAATAATAAAAACTAGCATAGAAATCTTTCCGAATAAAATTGATGGCTTTTTGGCTGAGTTATGCGTTTTTTAAACTGTGATTTCTGGAAAAATTGTGCTGTAACAATATAGATAAATATTTGCTAATATATGGTATTATAATTTTAGTCAAAACTTATTACTCTATGAAGAGCCATTTCGGACCTATAATCCATATATATTCTTGATCAGCAAATCGGCGAATCTTTCTAGACAGTCGGAAAGAAAAAAAAAATTTGAAATTTTTTTAAGGATTTTTACATGTTTACAATTTCAAAATTGCCAAAAATTTAAATATTTTAAAAGTTAAATTGAGTATGAGATTGTTAAAATAATAAAAACTAACATAGTACTGCTTTCGAATCAAAATTAATGCATTTTCTTGATTCGGTTGAATATTTATCCATAAAGTTTTGATAAATATTAGTTGAAATTTTATTATTATATTTATTATTGATATTTTTAGCTTACTTATAATCGATTCCTGATGATCTTATAATTTAATTTCAAACTGAAATAGAATATATACTCTATATATATATTTGAGCTTCCCAAAGTTGTTTCCATTCTTGTTAACTTAAAGCTATGCCAAAACTAAAGTACCATTTTTTATTGAATATTTTTTAGTGTCCTATAAATTAAAGTTACACAGTTTCGAAACTAATTTAAAGGGTACTGAAGAAACCACTTTACATAAGAGCTGCTGATAAGGGGTGGATGGTGTTGAATCTTGTGCGTGGTGGACTTGCCTGACGTGCAACAGGTGTTGCTCATGCAATGTGCTGCGCTTCTCCTGGCGGTGTGTCACGAGGCTAATTAGCCGGGATGGAGGGAACGGGGGAGCTGCATTGCAGCCAGTCAAGTCTGCTTTGGAATTGTTCAACATTTCCCGTTTGTACGGTCTAATGCTCGTTGTTTCCATTTCTATTTGTTTTGCTGCCTCGGTTTCTGTTTCTGGTATCTAGCTCGACTTTGTTTTGCTTGAACCTGCACATGGCAGCGGGTTCCTCCTCCTCCTCCTCCCCCGATTCCCTCCTCCTTTCAACCAGGCTCATGTGTCTGCTCTCACGTCTTTTTTCTTT